CCCCCACCCCGCCCTGACTGGCACCCGCGCACACCAACCGCAGCTTGCTCTGCCAAGCGTGGCCCGCCTCCTTGCAGCCGATTGGGCGGCGGCCGGACGCCCCGTGGAGTCATAGGTTAAAGAGCGTGCCCGTCACTGTCAAGTGAGGGGCCCGCCCCCGCGGTAGCCCCGCCCCTTTCCACGCCCTCCGGCTGATGGACAGCAGGGACGCCGCTACTGCCATCCATTGGGCAACGGCCAAACCATTCTCCAATGCTATTGGGCAAGAGAAACGTCAATCATGCGAGCCTCCTCCCGCCCCGAGGGAACGGTGCCGGCGCTGATTGGCTGACACGGATTTCTCGCGCTCTGATTAGCAGCCAGCCTTCCCACCCACTCCCTGACCATTGGCGGCTGAGCGTGTCACATGGCCGCCCTTAGCAACGCGCCTGGGCTTCCTTAGCAGCCGGGCCGGGTACCGGGGCCGAGGCGCAGGTGGGGGCCGGGCCGGGTACCGGGGGCGCGGAGCGGGCCTGGAGCCTTGGGGACCTGGGAGGTGACAGGCCTGAGGGGCCGGGATCTGGGCCTGGACGGGTCTCGGGAGGGAGGCAGCAGCCCACCTGGGTCGGAGCCACCCTGACAGGCAGAGTCGGGGTCCCCGTCCCGGGCCCTGCAGGGCCTGGGGATGTCGGGGACGTGGCGCTGCTTCCCAGGCCTGGGCTCCGGCTGGCTGTGAGCAGCAGCTTCTTGTCTGGGTGGCCGACCCACTGCTCGCACTGACACCCACGGTGTTCCCACTGGATGCAGCGAGGTGCTGACCTCGCGGTGTGATTAGCTCTGCGGAACCGGCGTTGGCTAAAGAGACGATGGACAAATACAGGGAAAGCGGAAAGTCCGGCAGATCAAGGACGAATAAACCCAGGGCCTGCTACTCCTCGGCCTGTACTGAGCACAGCCATAGAGAGGTTTGGTTTGTTAATTGAAAGCCGTGATGAGGAGAGAGCTTTCTAAACCCAGACGTTTATCGTTCCTGTCCTCCTATGCGAAAAAGCAGCAGAACTTCTTCCATAATTAGAGACTTCTTACGCAAGCAAAAGTTTGAAGATCCAAGCCCTTCATACTGATTAATTAACTGTGCACAGTTCTAGAAAGATAAGTAGTCTTGTTGCCCCCAGGGCAACATCAGGGCTATTTAAATGACAAAGCCAGGTCAGAAAGTTTTGACTGACGGAATTGTCCATTTCCCAAAGCGAAGGTGTTTGTGTGCAGTGCTATACACTGACTGAACTTGGTAGCCTTTACTATGGACCTGCATTAAGGGCCTTCTTCAGAAAATCGCTGTTATTGTTTATAAATTTTCCTCCTTCCTCAAATTTGTTTTCACTTTTCTTATGAGGTTGGTGTTTAAAATTTAGTGAACTGCTGTTGTTAGTTTTCCTATGCGAGAAACACATGCCTCTTACTCTATAAATCAAACTTGCCTATAATGAGAAACTTACTTACTTTTTAAAACGAGATTAAATGGTGCACGGAGCCTTGAATGTGCCCTCTTCATGAAGATGGGGTTCAGCAACAGGTGACTGCCACGTGATGGACCGTCGCTGTTCAGAGGTGTTGCACAGGGCCTCCTTTCCTGGTCTGTTTATCTGGCCAAAGTCTGGCATTCTTCATGGAAAACACTCAAACGTGGTGGGAAGCTTGCACGTGATCGTGCCCGGCCGTTTTACAGTGCTCGGGCCGTAAGGCTGCGCTTAGAGTCGCATCAGTGACTTTGTGATAAAAGTCAAGTCTGTATTTGATGTCAGCTGTGAGGTATTAGATCTGCTAAATGCTCAGCTGCGCTCTTAATTCCTTGGAATTGTCATGCCCGCTCAATGAATGTTGGAAATAGTAGCCAGGCGGTGATTTAATTTATTTTTCTTTTCTGTCCTTTAAGGCTGATGCCGTCTAAAAATGAGTCAGTTATACAATAGCATTGAGCCAAACGTTATTGATGATGAAATGGTTCAGAAAGCCGTTGAAGAGCAGTGTCCAGAGGACGTAAGAAAGCTTGCCAAAAGGGAAGGTGTTAACTTTAAGGATGTGACGGAGCTACAGCTTAGTTTTAGAAGTGAGTATCAGAATACATACTTTGTTTTCTTCTTCTTTTGTTAGAGGGTAATAGAATTAAGCATGAAGTGGCTAACTGGCAATTAAACAATCATGATTAGCTTGGATTTGTTATGTGAAAAGTAACATCTGGACTTACATTTTTAGTCACGCCTGTATGAAGTAGTTTCACTGGAGAGAGCTGGGTGCTTTTGCTGATGGGTAACTTTAAAGCTGCTTAACTTTACGCTATTATTGTCACTGCTATTCTTATTTAACATTTATATTGTGGTGACACCTACAGGCCACAGGCCTATCGGGCCCTTCTGTACGTGGACAAATGAAACCCTGGGCAGGCTCCGCCATCGCTGGCGATTATGTGAGAGCTATTTGGTAGATTATGGTGATTACAGTCCAATTCGGTGGCTTCCTCCAGTCATCCATAGCATTATCGCAGCTTGCCTCTTGCTGTCAAACCGGTCATAAACTTGCATTCAAAAAATGAAAAGGAAGAACATTTGGCTCAGTATTTGAGTATTTTGGGGGTATGTAATTTCATGGGCAAAAATCTGCTTTTGATTATTCGTTGCGTGCTCCAGTAAAATAATGTGTGTATTAGCTGAGTTCCTTAGAACAGAATCCCTGCTACCTGATCCCGCATGTATTTGTCTGCAAATACAAAATATAGAACTGTGTGAATATTTCGTGCATGCGATTCCTTGCTTTACTCTGCACTCACTAAACGGTGATAGCAGCTAACGAAATCCTCTGGGAAGCCATTGCGGGGGGAAAGAGAATTGGGAGTGAGGATGTTCTGTATTTTCTGTCACCCCGGTCCTAACGTTTTGCTGTAGTGCCTAATGACCTGCCCTTCTGATTCTGTTTTTGGAGAAAGCTAAATGCAGGGATATTGATTAGTTCCAAACTGCAGCCTTCACACAAAGACTAGACCCCAACTTGCTCTCCTGTGACGAGAATCCCAGGAGCAGGAGAGTAATTTACAAAAGCAGTAGCTGGCCACCACTAGCCTGCAAACGCGGAGAAAAGCAGAGTCTCATCCCAAACCTCCCTCTTGGAGCTGGAAAGGAAAATGAAGGTCAAGGCCTCCTAGTAGTGGATTCATAAAGCCACTCCTGACTGCAGGGCCGTAGTCAGCATCCCCTCAGTGACTCGTTGGCGTCGCTGATGAGCTGTATGCGCTGGTGCAGGACACGGAGGTTAACTGGGCTGTTTCATTGAAATCTCATCCAGCCAGTGGACCTCTCAGCTCTCTAGGGCAGTCATCACACGCTATCGTAATCTGCTGAAAATCATTTTGGAGGTAAGGCTGGACATGTTTTCCGTGTGCAAGATAGTATGTCTGCCAAGCTGAAAGCTGTCTCACATGAAAAGCAGTTTTGTTTTAGTTTTTTTCCCGTGGCTTTAGATATCCTGCAGATCGATAATCTGTGGCAGTTTGAGAACCTGACTAAACTGCAGCTGGACAACAACATCATTGAGAAGATAGAAGCTCTGGAGAGTCTGGTTCACCTCGAATGGCTGGGTAAGATACAGGCATATGAGGTTGGATGCCTT